GGACAAGAAAAATTTTTTCTTTAGGTATGAAGAAACATTTATAATACTGTAAGGAGCTTGTACTTTTTTGCATGAAGAAAGTGAAAACTAAGACAACTGCGGTAAGAAGAATGTCCTGTCTTCAGTCTCATGTTTCGAAGGAGCCCACTTCATTAAGTGATATGATGGGACAAATCTATAAGACTTGATCTTTCCCATAATGTAATTATATACGCAAATATTCCAACACCACTCTACCGATTGTCCACTATGCACCAGGACTTTCTCTATGGTCTTGCTTAGCTTCAAAGCAAACTTTGTCGGTCCCATTTCACAGAAAATGTAACAGAAAAATAAATAATGCAGAAGGTCAAACCTACCAATGGCAGAACAAGGACTAGGCTAATTTTTTTTAATGTCATGATATTCAAACCACTGAAACCCATTTTAAAAGCTATCAAAACTTTGGGAAAGCAATTCTTGCTAATCTCTAAGAATAATAATATCCTTTAGCCCTAGCCAGTTTGGCTCAGTGGATAGAGCATTGGCCTGTGAACGGTCCCTAGTTCGATTCCAGTCAAGGGCACGTGCCCAGGTTGCGCTTGATCCCCAGTAGAGGGCATGCAGGAAGTAGCCAATCCACGATTCTCTCTCATCATTGATGTTTCTATCTCTCTCTCCCTCTCCCCTCCTCTCTGAAATCAATATAAATATATTTTAAAAAGGAAACAAAATGTTCATCTTAAAATAATAATAATATCCTTTAGCAGAATTTTTAGTTATCTTAGAAACTGGGATATTAAGGCCCTAGTCGGTTTAGCTCAGTGGACAGAGCATTGGACCAAAGGGTCCCGGGTTCAATTACGGTCAAGGGCACATACCTCGGTTACAGACTCCTCCCTGGCCCTGGCCGTGGCCCTGGTTAGAGCTCATGCAGGAGGCAACTAATCAATGTGTTTTTCTCGCATTGATGTTTCTCTCTGTGTTTCCCCCTCTCTTCCACTCTCCCTAAAAACCAATGGGGAAAATATCCTCGGGTGAGGATTAACAACAACAAAAAAACACACACACAAAAAGAAACTGGGATATTATAAAATTCTTTAGAAATATGATATAGAAAATATATAGTTTACAGTCTAAAGTTTGATGAATTTTTCATAGAAAAATATTTATTACTATGCCACAGTATATTATGAAAATATTATGCTATAAGACATCATTATATTATGATTTTATACTATAAAAACATTATATTATTGCCATAGTATATTATAAAAAGTGTAAACTCCTCAGTGGCACAGGTCCACTTCTAGGACATCATTCTAAAGAAACAGTTGCACATGTACATCGAGTCACACTTGAGGTTCACTGCAACTGTTTTGTTTTTAACCATTTTTTGATTGATGGTTAAATTGTTTTGTTTTGCTTTTCAATAACAGTTTACTTTTAATATTATTTTGTATTGGTTTCAGGTGTACAGCATAGTGGTTAGACAATCATACACTTTATAAAGTGTTCTCCCTGTATTTCCAATACCTACCTGGCATCTTATACAGTAACTGGTTGTTTTTTTTTTTTTTTTTTAATGACAACAACCTCAGTGCTCATCAATAGTTAATAGATAAAGTACAGGAAATTTCACACTATTCAATACTTTAAAAAGAATGAAGTATAAATTATATTGATATTAAGAGTTCAAGGTCTACCATAAAAATCAAGCTTCACAACCTATGCACCAGGATCTAATTTATATTTAAAAATAGATTATCGCTGTGTTCAGAAAGAGGGATGGAAGGATATATACCTACTGGTTACTGATTTTATTTCTAGGGAGGAGGTTATAATGGCAGGGACTAATGGAAGATACTTTATTTTTATTCTACCTAACTCTCTATTGTTTGAATATTTTAAAATAATAATATTACCCAATCATCTAAATTTAATAAACCTGTAAATAGATAAACATGTTGAAACCCTCATAATTAAGAGCCACCTAGAGCCCAGCTGGTGTGATTCAGTGGTTGAGTGTGAACCTATGAACTCATATATTGTTTGTGTATTTCTTTTCATTTATATGGTTATATATTTCACAGACATTATTTTGTATCTAAAATTTTATATTATGTTAAAAATTATTTCATAAGTATGTTCCCCTATCTATTAGAATAAATCTTCCTCGTCTATTGACTATACAGTGTATTCACATTAGTTATTAAGGAAAGTATTGCCTTCGTTTGTCTTTTAGTGGTTCCTGGTGAGACTTGCCCTTGAATAGCAGCTTTTCACTGACCATTTTTATAACATACTGTATACGGACTAACTGTGGTCACTAGAGTTGAAGTGTCTACTTTTCCCTGATGTAGTTAGAGGAACTTCAAGAAAAAAATAACCATTTCTACCTCTTTAGAATCAATTAGATAAATGAGACAGTACAGTACTTTCTAAGTGCTCAATATACACGATATGTTACAATTAATATAGCCTATTTCAATGAGAA